TAATAAACTAAATGGAATAAAATTACCTGTTTCCAGTTGGGAGAGTGATATCTTTACGAATAATTCCTCAATTTTAGAATTGATCACAGTAAAATTATGAATATGATACAGTGTAAAGTTTTCCACTTGATGAAAAAAAATAAACTATGTTATCTGAATGACACGGGGAAAAGCAAATAGTTCTTCCTATCGCTACTCACATTAAATCGTCTTCACGAAAAGCTAGGTGCCGCACTCAAGCCATTAATCATTACTAAAAAATCCATCTTGATTGCATGTAGTCGAGTTTTGTCAGTACGCTTTAGGTAAAAATTATTGATATTTCTGGATAGAGCATTATCGTCGCTGGTTCCTGGTTGGTTTGGTTGTCTCATTAACATGTTGATCGCACGGCCGCTGAAGATGCGCATTACAATGTAAACACAATTGCATTAAAGGGAAGTTCTCGTCCATCGGATGAGGGCGTTTTATCAGTTGTAATTGTAGTTAAAAGTAATTGTTAAAAAAATCCATCATCACATTAATATCAATTTAAAAAAAAATATATAATATTACTTAGGCCTACCTTACCTTACGTATTTAAACATTTACGCATGAGCTTACGTACAGCACAGGTTATATGTGTCCAAATTTCTTCAGAGATCCCTGCATAGACCTATAGTAATTTACTGTATCTCTTGTCAATTTGGATATACAAGGGATGAGGACGTATCGTATCACATTAATCACTGGTCGTTAATTCGTCAAGAACAATTGGTGTCTATATAGGAATGTTGCGGAAAAAGAGATTTCCGTTATTTGGAGTTGAATTCACCCTGAAGCCTTATCCTAATTAGGTAAAGCATTAACTTTTATAAAAAAAAAGTAATAAATGGAGAAGATGTTACAAAAGGAAATACAAAAATGACTGCAAAGCCGGCCACTAACTGCGTCGTACGAATTTCATACGACCGTCGCACGACGAATCCAACTCCACTCCCTGCGTGAGCGCTAGACGTCGACACGAGGCTGCCGTCTGCTAATTGCCAGTGGCAGTCTCAACGGATATCGTCTTAAAAAAACGATCCGTTGCACGCGCGTCGAGTCGCTCTGCGTTCTTTAAGGCCAACTCAGACAGCGTCGGCCGACGCAGCCCGACCCGATTTATCGTCGTGGACAGTCTTAAGCCGTCGTGAGAAATATTAAACACGTTTAATATTCTACTACGCGACTGCCCCCGACGCACACCATCGTGTCTGCGTTCAACTCACACAGACCCGATGCGACAACAAATCGCGTCGGGCTGCGTCGGCTCACGCTGTCTGAGTTGGCCTTTATAGAATCGCGTCGGCCGACGACCGTCGGGCGCAGCGAGTGCCCGGCTGCGCTTTCGGCTTTGGCTACGTTCAGACCTGAGAGATACGCCAGGAATATCTAGCTCCTGGTGTGCGTCCATCAGCGGCGTAACTAGCGAGATGTCCAGACTGGCCAATTAACGAACGCTAGCATAAATATTGGTGCGAAATTCGTAATCACGCATTTTATTTCCTGTTTACATCTAGGCTTATTGTGATTGGTTAAATCCTGGCAGAGTTCGAAATCATTGATGCATGACTCTCGTAAGCTCACGCCCCTGGATTAACGTTACGCTAACTTATCTCGTTGTGTCTGAACATAGCCTTATAATAAAAGCGAAGCCCTCATCCTAACTAATGTTACAGCCCCTATAAACAAAACCCGAGAGATTGATTGCCAGCATACGTCTTTGTATATATCCCTGATAAAAAAATGTGGGCGTGGTCGGGCGCCGCTCAAGATGTTCTACTAATAATATATGTAAAAAAATACATATACATTGTTTTTCCCGACGAATTGTGCTTTTCTCCCCCGACGACAGGGGGGGGGGGGGTTGTGGCAGCTCTGCCTGACGGGGGTTCGCTCCCCCCCACCCCCGCTAGCGCCACCTGAGTACCTGAAGTAAGGGTTCCTCCCGTAATTGCTGGGCGTCCTATTTTTGAGACGCGTTACCGTTTGTGGATTGTGAAATATTAGTCATTTTTGAATAAAGTAATATAATTAATCGCAGCACTGAAACATGTTATGGTCTTGGGAAATGTGTCTTAAGAATGGCAATAACCATTTCACGAAATTCACTAATGTATTTGAGAATAAGCTAAGCCAGCTCGATACGATTGTATGGCTTTTAGTATAGAATACTAATTACTGAATTCGATTGTCAACAAAATCTATCCCAAAGGAAACTACTTTTGAACAGTACTTTTAGGTAATTATCATGAGGCAAAACAGTGAACGGGACAGGGACAATTTGTGCAGAAACGTTCAAGCGAACGCGCAGTAGATCAATAGAGGGCGGAATTCTAAACTTGTCTCTAACCAAGAAACTAAAAAAGTTTAAAAAGGAATATTATTTAAAACTTATACCCCCAAGTTTAAATCAATGATTCCCAACCTTTTTTCAATCCGCAGACCCCTCTGGAAATGTCAGTAGTCTTCACGACCCCTATGTCTAAGTATTACTCATTGTCGATATTCTAACAGTAAGATTATAGATAGAAGATGATATGATTCTCCTCAAAAGTACAATATTAAACAGTGGCGGATCCTGGAATTCGAAATCAAATACCACGTCAGCCCAACCATAATGTGCGAATGAGGTACGGAATTTTTTTTTTATGTCTATAGACACTTATAGATGGCCGGAAATGGCACTGTCAGACTTAAAATTAGAATGTAATATTCTTTTATGCCTCATTTTTCTTTCTTTCTTTTTTTTTTTTTTTTTTTAAATAAGCCTATTGTAAAATTTAAAGCTACTCATGGTTGATATTCCACCAATAAGTTTATAAATAGATCCGCGAACAAAACGTAAAACATTAAACAGTGGCGGAACTTAGAATTCAGAATAGAAGGGAGTCAGAAAAAAATTTACAAATAGGGGTTCGATATATTACCGCCACATCCCTACTAAGGTTAGGGCTAAGGTACAACATTATGTCTATGGTACTTCTAGATGGCCGGAGAGGGCACTGTCAGATTCAAAAATAAAAAATGTAATTTTTAATCCATCCAATCATTTTTAACATTTCCTTTAAATTCAAGGAGCTCTAACTGATATTTTTTTTTACTTCAATATCAAGGTAAAATCTTTACAAAACAAAACATACAAACAAGATTTTCGTTACCTGACGATTGTCATTCAAGTGGCTCTATAATACCATAAGGAAAAAAAACTGTTTCTTTCCTCCATGCCTATACTAAGCATCTTTACATAAAACACATAAAAAGCAAATATAGGCCTAATAGATTCTTACAGATCAGCAATTATTTTGTTTTTTTCATTTTCATTTCATTTATTATGCCTCAAAGAAATACAACCGGTTACATTGCAAAACACGCACAATGAAAGAAAAAAAAAAACAAACAAACACAAGCGAACACAAACATGCAGAGACAGGATTCCTAAAAATTGAACCAAATCACTATCTGGTAAGTCTCCCTTTGCACTGTTTGGAGATAATACTTAAATTGTATATTGTTATTCCAACATAAACATAAAGAAAACTGCTTCGTGATTAACATGCAATCTGTATAATACAAAGTTAAATTTCAATTGATTATACAAATAATGATACAGCGGCACTTGTCTACACGACGGTGCGTCCAGAGTTTACAAAATTCAAGTTTAAAAAGATACCTATACATCTAAACTACCGGTACTCAAAAATTACCTTAAAGTAAAATAACTCATAAAAGTATATCACATAATATATACTATTACCATACATGTCACTTTAATTTAAAATGATGACAACATCATTAAAAAAAAAAAAACCACATGTATATAAAAATATTGAGCAATAATTATTGTTAATTAAAATATAATGCCAATCAAAACAGTTTTACAGTGAACGAAGTCTGCCAGTTTCAAAGGGTCTATTTCATTACCGTTAAGGCATTATTAGCATTAAGGTATTTATCACGCTATTGTAATAAAAGAAAAATAATGGAATCATGAAAAATTGGTAGAGATCTAGCGGACCCCAATGTGTTCGCGGAGCCACAGACTTTACGCAGACCCATAAAGAATCCGCGGCTCCATGTTTAGTTGAGAACTACCGATTTTAAATTATTGTTGAGACATTGCGAACACACAATATTATCTCTTCTCTTTTAGACTGGCGTTGATAATCATGGTTAGGCCTATCTTATAATAAGTAATACGTTGTTGTGTGTGTGTGTGTGTGTGTGTGTGTGGGTGTGGGTTGACTATGTAGAATATGACTTTTGGTAGGTGATAGGTATTCGAATATCATGTTTTAGGAATATTTATTAATAACCACCACAGTACTTGTTACGGGCTCTAATGAGTACGGTATTACATATTGTGTTGACCTATAATCCCACTTAAAACTAATCCTATTTGATTTTTCTGAAATAATAAATAGGCCTAATATTATTAACTTCTCATCAATTGGGGATATTTTAATGAGAGCGTCTATGGTAAAACTAATAATCCTATTGTCTCTAAAATATTGAAAACAAAATTCAAAATGTCTACAGCATGATTGATGTATAATATTATTTTCAATTGAAAAAAAATCATAATGATTCAAGTACATTTGCTGTAATCAATTTTAAGGATTTCCTCAGTGAAATATCTGTAGGCCTAAAGTCAGTGAAAACTTAACTTTGACCTGACGGTATGTCTTATTTAATTCTCAATATTATTTAATCCATATAATTGACCAAATCATTTTTGAGATTCATTTTTAGTTTATTTTTATAATTTCTTTAAAGGAGGTATATATCCTGCAGTTGACTAAGATCCTAATATAATTATGTAATTTGTTAATGAAACATTTGTTAAGTTAAAAAGTTTTAAAATTATATAAAAAAAATCATAATTTATTGTAATAATATCATTGATAATTTTGGAGTACGCCCTCAATCATTGGGACCTCGTCGATCTTCACAAAAATCCTCTTGAGATCCTCATGGTCAATGTTGTATTGTTGTTGTTGATGGTTGGTTGCACAATCGATTTTATTTTATGTTGCACACTTTTTGAAACATACTTGCGACAGGTTTGATTAAACAAACAACCTCGTCCATTAATCTGGTAGCGTGAATCAACACAGCTAAAAAAAAAAAACCCCGGTGTTCGTTTAGGAAACATTCCAGTAAATCGTTTCGGGAAATGGCAGAATGTAGCCTGGCAAATGGCACACGCGGCAGTAAAACACCGCCCACAAAAGACGGGGTAACAGCTGCTGAGCTTTTCCTCGAGGAGGGCCTTACATATAAGTAAGTAACGTAAACTAGCCTAGGCCTAGGCATAGTTACTAGGCTAGGGCCTAGAATGTAGGCCGCTTATTTAGCCACAGTTTATCACAGATGTACTTGTTAGTGTAAAATATATATAGGCCTATCAACGTTAATTCGCCCTCAAACAAATGTCAATGAAATATGTTTTTAAGGTCGTGGTTTACGACGATACGTACGAAAATCTGATGATGAAATGCAATGTAGGCCTAGTGTGTTTGTGTAGCAAGCATTATGCAAGGGCTCGGATTGATGTTGCTTAAATCAAACCTTGAACTTAGTTTGCTAGCCTACAGTATATTATTTATGATCTAGGCCTAGGCCTACAGCATGTCGAGTTCCGAAGAATAACTCCAGACTGTATACTATTATAATATATTTTAGTGAGGCCAGCGTGGGAAATATATCCTCTGCGTAAAAATTATGCCAGAAATCTGACATTTTGGGAAATTATGTAACCTTTCAACTTTAATACAGTTATGGGATGGTCCCGCCAAGGGATTCTTGTGGGCCACCCGTGAGGATAAGGAAAGAGGGAGAGACGAGTCTCGGTGGACCGGTGTGAGCAAGCTGGGTCTTGTGGGCAGGCATTTAGACCAAATAAAACCCTTTTATGATCAACTTTAGATGGTGTCTGGATCTCATTGTATTTCTCGAACACTATAGGGTCACACTGGTGCCGTGACAGTAGGTAGGGGCCTAGCCCTAGGCCCTATGTTAAAAAGAAAATCATCTTGCTTGGATCCAAATGATAGTGATGCAAGTTTATTCTCGAACATTTAAATGTTATTTAAATAAAGTTTATTGGATTAAATTTAAGCTAGTGTTTGATTTTTATATAACTTTTTAAAAGTGTATGTTTAAGTGGAAATCTGGCTCATAGGGATTGTATTATAGTGGTTGTGACCTTTTTAACTATGCATATTGATGAACCTTTAGCGATGCCTAGTATACTGCAGAGCACTGTGGTTATGGGTAGGTGGCTGACTTCCCAGCATCACTTGGCAGTCAAATTCTTTCATATTTTGTCAAAAAATTTATTACTTTATCTATCTGACAATTATAGAGTTATATCTTTAGGAAGTCTTATAAACATCACTTGGCAGTCTGCCAAATTCCTTCATATTTGGTCAAAGAAATTAATTACTTATCTGACAACAGGGTTATATCTTTAGAAAGTCACATTTACATTTCTGCTAAAAAAAGAGGTTATATTTGAATATAAATTTCAAACATCAGCTACAGTGAAATTAAAGATGAATGAAAACAAAACAAATGCGTAACCTTTCTTTGATCTTTAATCTGCATATTAATATATAACAACGCATAATTTTTTAAAAACCCAACACAACCAATAAGCAGTTACGATTTTGCACACCTATTTTCCTAGCGATTTTCTACACAAATTGAAGCTAGTTAATCATCAGCGCAGATAACCCCATAAATGGGGTACAGTAAGTCGGAACTCCTGAGGGGGCGTGTTCCTGTGTCAATTATACGAGCAATCATCAACAAAAAATAAACATTTTTTTGGCTTTTTTTATGAAACATACATTATGTATATACTTCTATTGATGTAGTTTAATCATGTATTATAAAGAGTTATAGAATTATGGACATTTTTGTAAATTTTGTTCCAACTAACCCCACTCTCTCTTACTATAGTAACCAATTATTTTTGTAAGCAATTCTTTGAGCCATGTGCCACTCCAAAGACTGTCTAGGCCCGCAAAACTGTGATTGTCAAATCTATCTAATTTTGCCGATGTACCAATACATTTCAAAACAAAGAGAATTCTAAAATTATGATAACAGAACATTTTATATAGTAAACGTCAATTGTCCAATGCATTACAAAGCAAACAGAATTCTAGAATTATGATAACAGAACATTTTAGAGTAAACATTGGCACTTGATGTCCCATTGTGTAAAATAAACTTTGTAACAAACTAATCATAAAGGTTAGCAGTTTCATAGTTGGTAGAGATATAGAGATATACAAATTATTAATGTTTGACAACTTTGTTGTTTTCAAGAAGCATACCACAATGATGACAGGTATACTGTAAATTTTTGACGTCTATGTTTACACATCACATTGTTAATCCAGGTCACCTGTCTCTTGTCACGTAATCGGCAATTCAGATGAAAGCTTTTTTTTTTAGGAACTAACCAGTAATACACTATTGTTCAGGCTCAGTACAGTATTTCTATTTTTGTTTGCCGATTTTAGGCTAAAAATTTTCTTATTTTTACACACTTTTCGAACATAGAAAATGATTAATTTGAGACAGTATATTGCCACACCTACTGTACTGCAAATACTGTATGATACAGGATTTGTTGGTTTTTCTATTTAAAAGAATTAAAACTTCATTTGACATTTTTAACCTTGCCCTTCAATTTATTTTGTTCTGAATTTTTAATAAATTTCAGCCCCATTGTTTATGATGTGTTTTTATAATGTACAGTATAGCCAAATATTTTGATGTCATCTCAACCAAAAGGAAAGCATTCTGGCTTCACTGCATTAGTTAAATCTCAACTAAAGTAGGCCTATAGTAGCACTTGTATTTTATTAAAGTTATGCAAAATTACAAATCTTAAACTTAGACTAATAACCCATTCAGACTACCCTCTCTTGCGATTGGTTGCAATGTAATCGGTGGTAATCCAAAACTGATTACTCCCTATCGCAATCAACGAACGCATTCAGACCAACACAAACAAACTTTACATTCTTGGGCCTAGGCCTCCGGTGGCTAGGCCTATGTTGCCCGACCTCAGCCAAGCAGTGCCTGTGGAATTCGTTGTGATTCGTTGCGATCAGATTCCGTGGTAATCGGGAGTAAGATTGTAACACCCAATCGCAACGGGTAACAATTGCGATATCGATTACATATCGACTGCTATTGGTGAGCTTTCACACATGATTTTACTTTGCGATTGGGTGTCGCAATTGCTACAACAGATCGCAATGCGATGCTAGTCTGAATGTGGTATAACTGTAATATAATTATTAGCTGTAGCTTTTGTCCACACAGTGGACTTCATTAACGATGAACCTTAGAGTACATAATATTACCCATCATGCTTTGATCTTTCATATTCATCAGACGACCAAACAATGCCAATTTAAACCAGAGGCTTACTAACTATGTAAAACTTCTGTAGTGGTAATTAACAAAATGAGATTGCTTTGTTATTTTACTTTCTGAAACTTGTGAGCATTAAATGTTATTGTCATTTGTGAGCATTAAATGTTATTGTCATTCCATAAAACATGTAGGCCTACAGTTGTCTTTTTACAAAAAAAGAGTAGACTATGATGAATAGGCCTAAGTAATTTTAATTTAATGATTTTCAGTAAAGGCAACAAACTTTACTCTTTTTGTTTGTCTCAAATTTTATGTTCAGAGTTGAACCTAATTAATAACACACTATATTGCCCAACAATACAATTAGTTCACCCTGGTTTAAAACTCACTGGAGGAGAGATACCTGTACATGTAGTAACAAAATGGCAAAACACTACTCCAACATTTTGTGTTTGTTTGAATAAGTGTGAGCTGAACACTGAAGCCTATAAAGGATCTGCAGTGCATAAATTAATTTCATTTCAGTGACCTTTTGTGCTTCACACACGCGTTGAGTACAACTTGGCGGTTGCCTGCCTTCAAATCCCAAAATCCTTGGTTCTGTTCCTGTCACGAGACAGGATTTTTTCACTCACAATTTTTTCTTCGATTTTTTTTTTCTCACGACCAAAAGCCACCCCACTCCCTAAGACACAAAGTAAGGCTTAATGCAAAGCATCTTATTTATGTTTGTCTTGTGAATGGTTGCTACATTAGTAATGTGGAAATGTATGGTGCAGCGTATAAGGCGTTGGACATTCCATCGGAAGGTCGAGGGTTTGATACCGATGCTCGTCACACTGGTTGTGTACTTGGGCAAGACACTTAATCTGCATTTGCCTCTCTTCACCGAGGAGTATAAATGGGTACCTGGTAGGAGGTGAATGATTCAGAATAAATTAGTAGTGCTGATTACACACGTTACTAGGAATACTCCCAAGGGGAACGAAGGAGGTTGCACGTTGTGCATGATTGGTTCGGTATTTAATGACCAGGGCAAAAAGTGCTGTGAGACGTTGGTAAAGAGTGCTACATAAATGCTAAATTATTTGATTAAAGTACACTATTGGAATATCTTTGGAAAGGGCCAAAAATTAAATAAATAGAAACCAAAAGGGTAAAACATGCTAACTATGATTGAATCTCTTTTTTCTTGACAGCGATTTTCTCATCTTACCAGGCTATATCGACTTCGCTGCAGACGATGTGGTAAGAACGATTATTTATTATTATTTGACGATGTAAAGTAGTCCACCCTAAAAAGATTCCTACATTTATGTTGTAATTTAAGTGTACATAGTACAGTGCATGGAACTGAAGGCGATCAATCCCATTTGGCAGCGTGTTATGTCAGTTTCCCCGGCAACATGATTTAATTATGATAAATTCAGGACTCTTTCAATTAATTTCTTTGAAATTGTAAACCAAAGATTTGCAAAATAGAACTCAGTATAAGAGTATATTATACTGCGTCTCATTATCATGTGATACTGATTCGTTACTGAGCAACAACCTGCTCGTTACTGAGCACACCGCCCGCCCCTCTCCACCCCACCAGAGCTAGCAACTGTTTATCATAGCTTTTTCGACTTATTATCAGAATCAAGAATCTGATTACAAACCAAATAACACAAAAAACTGTGCATACAATATTAATAGTGTTCAAATGGCACAAAGAAACAAAAAAATTATAATGAAGTGAGTACACTAAAATGTCTACTGCCAGATTAGCTGTACATTGGAGGCCCATCCCATCATGTCATCACGAACCCAACGGACAGCCGCTGATCAAGATAAATATTGTACTTTTTTCTACAGCCAAAAATATAATTACTGTTGTTACGTTCCAAAACATGCAGTTGATGAAGTCAGGTGAAATTATTTTGTCATGAATATCTACTGCACTGTAGCAATACCATGTTCTCTTTACACAAAAAAAAAAAAAAAAAAATAATGACTTAATATTTTAAGACCGTATGAAAAGTTTAAAAAATAAATATTTATTAAAAATAGAAGTTGTCTGATATTACATACAAGTAAATGTCAAATAGTCTTCATTGATTTGCTATTATCACTGCTTCTGTGCTGGATTTTACATGCCCGTACAATTGTGAAATTCAGACTGATGGATTTTTCCTGAAATTATATACAATGATGGATTCATATACACCTGTAAAGTAACATGACAGACTGTAGAATTACATTATTTCCAGTTAACATACTTTTGTTTCCAATTTTCAAACAAGAAATACAAATTTATAATAAAATAGGACACTTTATTTCCTGTATGATGAAACAATAGATTTTATACAGATTGCTGGATACAGTACTGTATGTAATCTGTATGGCTTCATTTTGGAAAAGGAGAACTTATTGGCTGTGCTCACACGGCTGCTAACAGTTAGCAGGATCCGGATTCTGCTAACCGTTAGCTGCTGTGCGTTCATACGAGAAAATCCCGATCCGGATACCAAAAATATGATGATCGAATCACTGGCCAATAAGAAACTGGAAATTGTAAACGCGTACGTGTGATTGGTTGATGATAGAAACGCGTTCAACTTGCTAACCGATAGCGGCATCCGGATACTGCTAATGGTTAGCGTTAACTGATCGGGCGTTCTCACACAGGTGCTAACGGTTAGCGCTAACAGTTAGCTCCCGATCCGGATACTAGGGCTCTCGTCAGAACCAGTCTATTATTTCTGTATTGACAGTTTGACATTTAAAATTCAAATTTTGTATGTTTGTACAGTAGCGCTCTGAAATATTGTTATTAGCATACTGTATCATTATACTCTACTATATGGATCTAATTTAAAACATCCATGGATGGTTTACTATAGAAACAAGAATTATATAATAGGTCAAAGGTCATGTAAAATTAATTTGTATTTTACTTGCAGCACTGTGTTCTTTGGCTTCTGTGTGCTTTATAATATAATGCAATCTTGTGTTGTCAAAGGAAAATGAAGGTCACAGAATGCTTACAGTATTTTTTACCTTAAGAAAGTTATAGTAATATTACAATGAAGCATCTGTCACATCACACACTTAATATTAATAGTCATAAAAATGCCATGTTCATATTGATGAATTTAAAATTAGAATTTTTTTTAAATTTTTTTTTTATGACCGAATGCTGATCATCAGTTAAAAAATAATGTTAAAATAAAATAATAATATTATTATATATTATTTTAATAATATTATTAAAATAATTGCTATTATTTGATAGTGTGTAACAGAGCTTTAAATTGATATTATTTGATAGTGTGAACAGAGTTTTAAATTGATATTATTTAATAGTGTGAACAGAGTTTTAAATTGATATTATTTAATAGTGTGAACAGAGCTTTAAATTGATATTGTTTAATAGTGTGAACAGAGTTTTAAATTGATATTATTTAATAGTGTGAACAGAGTTTTAAATTGATATTATGATAGTGTAAACAGAGTTTTAAATTGATATTATTTAATAGTGTGAACAGAGCTTTAAATTGATATTATTTAATAGTGTGAACAGAGTTTTAAATTGATATTATTTAGTAGTGTGAACAGAGTTTTTAATTGATATTATTTAATAATGTGTAACAGAGCTTTAAATTGATATTATTTGATAGTGTGAATAGAGTTTTAAATTGATATAATAGTGTGAACAGAGCTTTAAATTGATATTATTTGATAGTGTGAACAGAGTTTTAAATTGATATTATTTAATAGTGTGTAACAGTGTTTAAATTGATATTATTTGATAGTGTGAACAGAGTTTTAAATTGATATTATTTAATAGTGTGAACAGAGTTTTAAATTGATATTATATAGTGTGAACAGAGTTTTAAATTTATATTATTTGATAGTGTGAACAGAGTTTTAAATTGATATTATTTGATAGTGTGAACAGAGTTTTAAATTGATATTATTTGATAGTGTAAATAGAGTTTTAAATTTATATTTGATTGTGAACAGAGTTTTAAATTCACTAAATCATTTATGCTATACTGTAGCTCTATCCACACATTAATAAAAATGTCATGACAAACTTGTGTGTGCCCCATTTGTATTGGCATCATGATGTCATATACTGTACAGTACACCCGGATTTGGGTGTATTACAGTTTTTTGTCACATAAAAGTTGATAGTGTAAACAGGAGTTTATATTTGTATTCAAATTAATTAAATCTTAATCTCTGTTCACACTACAGTATTAAATTTGATGGCAAATTTGTGTGTGTCCAATTGGCGTCATGATGTCACATTACACCCAAATATGGGCGTATCACAGTTTTTTGTCATAAAATTTTGTAGTGTGAACAGAGTTTTAAAATTCAGTAAATCCTGTGTCAACACTATCATATTTTATGACAAATTTGTGCGATGTGCCCATTTATATTGGCGTCATGATGTCATATTACACCTAAATATGGGCATGTCATTATCACAGTATTTTTTTTTTACATAAAATTAATAATGTAAACATCTGAGCTTTAAATTTGTATTTAAACTTCAATGATGAATGTATTATAGGCTTATGCATTGAACAGGGATCTACAAGGAACCCAATTAAATGTTGGTTTTGATGTTGATTTTTTGTTTGTTTTGACCTGGAGGTCAGGTGACCAGGAATCCAAATTCAGTGAATTGTCTTTGCTTGAATCCTGTTTTCATTTTTTTTTACAGTAGGCCTATAGTTACAGACCAGTCAGTATCTTTTGAATACTGTTTACTCATAATAGCATTATCATAACTAAGTTAACATGCAGGCTTGTATGATTGCAAGTAAAGAATTGGCAAATAATAATTGTCAGTGATGACTCCTCAAGCTACTGGAAATTAATTGATCATGTGATTCTGCACAAGTTAATTGGCCATGGGATGTCAATCTTCAATATATTGATTAGTCCCAAATTAATACATTGATCATGTGATGTACTTTAAACCCTTAATATAATTGATTTGCCATGGGATTTATATTCAGAAGATTTGGATCAACGTCTGATTTAAATCATCATTGGTCATGTGATGTAAATCCTTAACATTCATTGGTCATCAGATGTATATCAAAGGATTTGATAGACATCTGATTTAGCTTTAAGATAAGCCTACAGTATATTGATCATGTGATGTAAATCCTTAAGATCAGATTAATTGGCCATGTGATGTCGATCTTAAGTATTGATTAGCCTGTGATCTTTATTTAATCCCTCAAAAATAGATTAATCATGTGATGTAAATCCTTAAGATTGATTGGCCATATAATGTAGACCTCACTTTGATACTACAGTAATGATACATTGATGTTTTTGGTCTGAGAAAATTTGCAAAATCATACCCGTTACCGGGGGCTTTTCCCAGGGAAAGGCTGCATAAAATTAGGCATAAAGTCTACTAAAGAAACAAATGTTAATTAGATATCTAGATGCATGACAAAAAAATTGTTGCTATTTTTAAAAAAAACAAAATGTCAGCCCTTTGAATTGATCTTTCAAAATGAAAAATAGGCTCCTGTATACAGTAGGACCATGATGTATAAGGCAGAAACTAGGTCAAAATATCTCTAAACAGGTAGTGCATTATCGGACAAGTGGCTATCAGCCATTGGTCATCGGTCAAAACGTAGGACCAATCAACTCCCTGATATAAAACTACTGTACTGTACAGTCACACTGTACTCTAGGCATGCCTGTGAAAATGAACCTTCAATTCTACAGAAAAATTCCATGAACCTACTATTAAAACACATTCCATTTTACAAAGAAATTCCACTACCACAGCATAGAGTATGCCTACTGTATTACAGGGCTGGAAAAAGGTTTTGACTGCACGACCAGCGGTTGGAGGCATCATGAATGTCGCAGAGGCATTTTAGGGGGGAAAAAAATAAAAAAAAAATAAAACTGATAAGTTTTTACAGTGTAAAGATAACATTTGGTGCTGGAAGCATTTTATCAAGAACCTTAATTTATAGTCCTATAACCTTTTCTCAAGTCTCTCAACCTTTTAAGCAGATCTGCACCAACTTAGTTAACCACATGCCTTGTAACGTTCTAAAGACAAATGTTCTACATATCACACGCTCGCGTAATAAACAATTGTCTTCCTATTTTTTTGTCTGGTTCTCTTATTAGTCCGGTGACCACCATTACAGTAAATAGCCTTGGTGTTACTTTCAATTCAAAATTGACCTGGGTGGACCATGTCTATGCCATTGTTTCCAAAGCTAAGCGTATGCTTGGTTTTGTTTAGAGCGTGGCTGGATATGCTCCGACCAGTGCATTTTTGTCTCTGGGGAAATGCCTTGTATTGCCTGGCCTGGAGTATGCTCAATCCTCCTGGTTTCCATGGACAAAAACTTTGTCAGATCTGCTTGAAGGGAGTCCATAGAAGAGCAACTCGTTTTGCTCTAAACAACATCGATGACAGATGAGCTTTGAGGAGAGGTTACATTGCTTTCTTTTTCATCTTTGTGTGTCAGAAGGGGACAAATTGCTTATTATTTTTTGCTTTAAAGTTCTGGTGCAGGAAGGTTCATGATGGTATTGAAATCAATACCTACCAGACATAACGATCGTTTGTGCTTCCATCATCAAGCATCAAGCACTCTATAGCATTTTTCCACTCAGTAGCCATCAGATTGCCTTGTGTCTAGGACCAGCTCCCTAGATTGTTAACTGATGCTGCGGTTCTAGAATCTCCATCCTCTTTCCTTCATAAGGTTCATAATTATTTTTGTTTGTTTGTTTAATTTTATTTATGGTTGGTGGCATAAACATTTTTTTTTCCCAGGCCTGAGTGTCTACAGTAGTTAAAAGTTGCTAAACTGTGTACAGTATAGAAAATGTTCACCTGCTGTACCTGTCTGTATAAATGCAGATGATATTAACAACCCTGTGTGAAGAAGAGAGTAATTTGAGAAATTAATGTTTAAACAGAAGTAAGATGATATTTTAATGCTTTCTTTCTGCAGGATTTAACGTCAAAATTGACCAGGAGGATTAGCCTGAAGGCGCCGCTCGTTTCGTCGCCCATGGATACCGTCACAGAATCATCCATGGCCATCGTCATGGCAGTAAGTACTTGCCGTCAATCATGTATTAAACTTAATATAACCTAAAATACAGTACCAAATTCTTATTCATGCGTGCAATGGACATTTATTGTCTTCTTTTGTATTGTAATTTGCTTCCTGGAATTTTTTTTGCATTATGCGAAGAGTAGAATCATTGTACTCTATATTATTTGTTATTGCTAATGCTATTGCTACTAATCTATTTTTTATTGTTTTTATGGTTGCTATTAAAATTACGCGTTTTTATTTACTATTAGAATTAATATTCAATATACCGATTTATTTCATTGAGATTTCGTTATATGCGCTATTAGCAAATTTATTTACATTGCATTATTGTTTGTACTGTTGAATATTGCATCAAGAAGATTATTTTTGCATGTCAACTTTACACTGTGTAAAAGGAGATTATTTTTATTATTGTTATTGTAAATAATAGTTATTGTTGTTTATTGCCACTAAAATTACTAGTTGCTGATACTAATATTTGGAGATTATTATTAATTATTAACTGCAATATTTACGGCATAAAGAGTGGAATATTATTGTTATGGCTCTTGCTACAGTAGAATAATTTTTATTATTATTGCTACTAAAATTACAAATTGTTATTACTAAATTGGGAGGGAAGTTAAATTATTATTAATTATGTGTTTACAGTACATAATAATGTCTAATATTTTACCACTGATTGTTTTTAAAGGTACAAGTATTTATTTGATTGATTGGTTGATTTAATTGTCAATCACCAAAAACTAACTACTATACTCTACTATAAAATTTGATCTGTTTTTTTTTTTTTTAAACTACCAATTAGTATGTTGCTTTTAAATTAGGTTTTAAACTAACTTGATGTTGTTAATATTTTTCACTATCTGTTTTTTTTTTTTTTTTTTTTTTTCCTTTTTTTTTTTTTTTTTTTTTTTTTTTTTTTTTTTGATAAGTAGAGTATGTATTTTTACCCATATATTAATGCATACTGTAGAAACTTTACATTATCATAATGCCCATTGTTGGACAAATTTACACAGATTTGTTATATAAAACTGTATTATGTGGACAGAAATTGATAATATCATGTCATTTTAATGCAAACTCTCTATGTTTAGAGTGAAATAACGTAACTACTGAACTGTATAATTGGGCTAGACCGCGACATCCCTCCACAGTTTAGCAAAGATACGGATAACCTGAGCATTATACGAGTTTGTATGTTCTATGTGTAGGACAGCAACAAGAATTACAATTTAAGAATAGAATAATACATGGCTTTTTATTGGTAGTTCAAGGAAAACCTCTTTCTTCCATCTAATCCATACAATGTTCACAAAGCCTTTTCAATTCTGGGTCATAACCTTGAAGGAGATCTGTATTTTTTTTTATGTTCACTGTAAGCCCCTTTAAAAATAGTAAGATCAGTAGTCCTACTATATCATTATCATACCATTTGAAATTTCCTATTCTAGAATTGACATATTATGCATATGATAGTACAACATCCACAATCAAGATTGAATGGAAATACATACTGTATGTACTAGATTTCGCTCACCTTATTCCAATATGTCATTGTCTAATTCATTTTTTTTGGATATATATGATTGAGTACTGTAGTTAATGAGCTTCATTGGTTATGGTTACTCAGGGCTTGCCCTAACTTTTTTTGGTAGCTAGCCCACTGGGCTACTTTACAAGAGATTCTACTAGCCCGCAGACTATTTTACTAGCCGACTGTATTTTCTTCGGCGACATTTTTTTTCCCTCATGCAGGAAAAACAATATGAATTGTATGTGTACAAGTATGCGTATATAGTAGCATCTTTAAGGAAATTGCAAATGCATAAAAAAATAAATACAACTAACCAAAAACATGAACTGACACAAATTTTAATACTGTGAGTACTTCACATTCTGTTCTGTTATAGCATAAGGAAATTGCAAATGAATGTAAACATAAATACAACTAACCAAAAACATGAACTGACACAAAGTTTAATAACAGTACTTCACAATTTTTTCTGTTCTATTATAACATCTATAAGGAAATTGCAAATGAATGTAAAATTAAATACAACTAACCAAAAACATGAACTGACACAAAGTTTAATAACAGTACTTCACAATTTTTTCTGTTCTGTTATAACATCTATAAGGAAATTGCAAATGAATGTAAATTTAAATACAACTAACCAAAAACATGAACTGACACAAAGTTTAATAACAGTACTTCACAATTTTTTTCTGTTCTGATAACATCTATAAGGAAATTGCAAATGAATGTAAAATTAAATACAACTAACCAAAAACATGAACTGACACAAAGTTTAATATTACAGTACTTCACAATTTTTTCTGTTCTGTTAAAGCATCTATAAAGGAAATTGCAAATGAAAGTAAAATTAAATACAACTAACCAAAAACATGAACTGACACAAAGCTTAAAACTGTACAGTACAGTACAGGCAGGAAATATCGCTTTGTATCTGCGCGTAACCACTCGTAGCCTGCTCGTAGGTACCGTTTTGTACCTGTCTCTTATACACATCTAGATGTGTATAAGAGACAGACAGACCAACTAGGAATGGTTGACCTCGGATGTGTTCGTTTGCATACTTGCCTGAGGGTATTGAAAATGATGTGCGATACCGAGGTTAATGGGTTTTTTTTAATGTGTCGGCAACTCAGTTTAAGTACAAAGGGTTGTTTCTCCTTCTATTTTTATACCTCCATGCTTAGATTGTTCATATCAGGCTACGAAGCCTGCGCGCAGGTTAGATTGTTTATTTCAGGCTACGATGTATCTACAAAGCCTGCGCGTAGGTAAAAGTGCAATATTTCATGACTGAAACTGTATTTCACATTTCTTTCGGTTCTGTTAAACTCTATTTTAAGGGTGGGCAAAGGGTTACATAATAGTGGGTGGAGGAGCATGCAATTAGATTTACACTATGTTGAAAAACTACATCTCTGCATGGAATATTCAGAAGTCAGAATCGGATTCAATTTCATCATTTGAAGAGTCAGAATCATCAACTACACTGTTATCGTCTTCATTGTATGGTAGATCTTCATCTAATGCTTCTTGTAACAGATCATCAACAGCAGATTTTTTGAAACGTCTTGTTACACCACTGTTCCACAAATGAATTGCTGGCATTGGATCATATTCACTGATTGGAGATGATTGCATCATTACGATCATTTGGTCCGTCACTTGATCTTCTTTGAGAGATGTACGATACTTTGTCTTTATACATTTCATCTTGCTGAAACCCCTTTCTGCCTCTGCAGAACTAGCTGGAATAGCCAGTAACAAGCCCATAAATGAGGAAATACTGGACAATTCATCATTCAATGAAGGAAGTATTTCTTCCCATTTAGCCTGGTTTATAGTTCGGTACCTGAAAGTAAAAAACAACCTAAATGAAAACGAAATTTGAGTAAACGATTACATTAATAGTTATGTTATATTATAGAGTAAATTAGAGTACAGTACAATATATAATTTAATTGGAAGTACAGTATAAGTGGAAGACAGTGCCTTGCACACACTTTTCTTCAACAAATTAGACTCGGTTTGTAGCTCGTCCAAGGCTACATTTTCAGCTTTTAGGGCTGGCTCAAACTGATGTGCAAGAAGACGCAACTCTTCATCGCCAAACCCTTTTTAAAATAACAATGAATACTTAATTAGGTGTAACAGTGAAGCATAATGTTGGATATTGAAATTAGCAATACATTTTATTTTGTCATAATACTGTACATTAAATGTTCTCACAATACCTTATGTTTCGTTTATCTTCGCAGGCCAAAACTTAAAACTGGATATCCTAAGAGCATGAAGTATACCATCTTGCATGTCAGAAAATCTTCCACTGAGTGAGGACTGGATAGCCTGAAGAATTTTCACTGTAGAATTTTCTATGTTTTCAGGTCCAACTAGGTGTTCTCCTTTGAAGCCTGCTTCCCCTTGCAAGGCTTCCAGCTTAGGTATCATCTTCCTTCAGAAAAACAATAAAATAAACTTAAATTTCTTCTTCAGTTTTGGTCAGGAGATAAATGATTAAAACAAACAAGATGAATTAAAATTGGCTTTGATATTTATCACAAAACACACGGAAATCAGAGTTTTTGACTTAAGTTGTAATTAAAAGATAATTAAAACCTTACTTTGTTTCATAGTCAGACAGAACTGCCGCTACAGAATCAATGGTTGCTGCAACATCGGCCACTGTGGAACTTGCCTGTTGAGAAGTGAATGAAACTTTTGAAAGCAGCTGAACCATATGGCTGAACTGTGTCAAGCAAAACATGTGCAAATAGCACAATGTCTTTCCTGCATAGCTGCTTTCGGAAGTTCTTGGCCTTTGCTTGAGCCTCGACAGTAACCCCTCTTTGTACCTCCAACTGGGAATAGTATAATTAAATAAATGCATTTAATTAGTTTTCAATTATAAATAAAAGGAGGTATTGATTCAATATATTACTGTAGTCTCACAATACATTTTAAGCTGGAAAATGTAAACACAGTATAAAACAAAGTGAACATTACCTGATGTAGGTGTGACAGTAAAGGTTCGTACCCATTAATGAGCTGTTTCTGTGCCCTTTCGACATGTGGCACCCATCTCGTGCTACCAACACGGGTTGGGATAAGTGCTCTCTCATTTAAGGCTTCTGCAGCTACTTTGAGTCCGCTCCTGTTTTTGGAACTGTTCTTATAGGATAAGTAGAGATTCAGAAGCAGAGTACTGATTGATACGTACAGTGGCACTTGTTTTGCAGCATCTTTGAAAGCTAGTTCAAGTCTATGAGCTGTGCAATGAACGACTGCATGCAGAGCTGGGTATTCATCTTTCATAAGCTTCGACACACCGTTGTTTTTCCCCAGCATGACTGACACCCCATCACTACCAAAGCCAATTAGTTTATTTTGAAGTACTGTTGCATCAATCTTCAGCTCTGTACTAAGACAGCAAATGATGGCCTCCTTGATTGATTCTGCATTGGCTGTTTTCACATATTTAATCCCAACTAGATCTGTATGTCGACGATTTCAGCTTCTGTTACAGATAAATCTGTTGTTCCATCTGATATGACCGATATGTAATTAACTTTGTCCAAGACTCTCTGAAGCGTCTTTCAGCCTTTGAAAAGAAACAAAAATAATAGAAAAATATAATAGAAAAGTAAATTTATACTATAGAAGAGTTATGCTAATATTAACATACTACTACAACTCTATCCTAAATGTTAAGAAGTTTTTGTGCTGTCTGTCAAACAATGCCCCTCACTTGTAGACTACATAAATTTCTTCTGTATACAACCAATTTTCTATTCTAGGATCGGTCTATTATTTTATAAAAAGTTCTATATGTTTATTTTTGATTCATATGAATAACAACAAAATCATTCATGGACAGATATACATCTATACATCATCATAGTAGGTAGGAAGGAAGGAGTACAGGTAGTCTTTTTTATATTATTATTTAATGTACGCACCGTAAACAGTGTTTATATTTATTTTGTATATTTCAATAGAATAGTAAATAATTACCTCAGCAATAAAATGTATGAACTACTGGGCCGACTTGTCCGTCCGGTAAGATGTTCCAACATCGAGTCCTTTGGCGGCATCCAGCTCGGCCATTCAAAGATGGTCGGTAAATGGGCGACAGTGGCTAGGGATAGCGTGTGCATTACGGAAAAGGATCACCAGTCTGTTGATAACAGCCTCATTCATGCCTTTTTACATTCTTTCAGCCTTACTTGAGCCTGCTTGCATACGAATTGCAGACGATTCTGCAATCGCTATATTGTGAGCCTCTGATTTGTAATATGCGATTTTATGGAATCAATAAAAAAATTGGACGTTTCCTTTAGGAATAGATTGGCTTTGTCGCTATAGGCCTATGCTTACCCGTGCGGCAGACCTTACAAAACATCACATTTTCCTTTTCATAATATCCCAACCACTTAAACTCTCTTTCCCACTCTTCTCTATAAACTCGTTGTCTTTTATTCTTATCATACCTTTGGTCGTACGTTCTTTTCGGCTCATTTTTCGCCTCGTTGGGATTCTTTACATTTGGAAGAAAATTCCACATGTTGCTGTTTCTTCTTTCTTTGCCGCTCGATGTAGAAAAAAACCTTAATTTACCAGACGCTATTAAGCGGCTGTACGATAAATCATTCATTGTTGCATGCAAGTCAATTTCATAAACGACAGATTGTAGACTACGAAATTTTTAATTGCGGTAAACATCATTGGCAGTGTTCGATTGGTACAGTACGTTTTGTTGAAACGATTTTCTGGTTGAGCATTGTCTTAATATATATTTTCTAGCAGTGCAGTATGGTTGGCGAAAAAGGATTTAATCGAATACAGCCCCACCAACAGTGTAAACATACAATTCGTTGACGTCGTACACCACCACGCAAATACTACTACTATTAGAATAGGCCCTAAATTCATAATTTGTTTCTGATGCAAGGTTTATAATTGTAATTTGTAATTTAAATAGTTGAGATTACAGTACAATAACCGACGAAGGTAAGCCTGTCGCCTTGGCTATGCCATAGTCCTAGGCCTACGCACTACGTATTTAAAGAGGAATTTTTCACTAGACCACCGGGCAACATGAGGAGGTGAATAGGCTAGCCCGGAGCGTTTTTCACTAGACATTGATGCCGGGCTAGTACTATATCGAGCCCTGGTTACTACAATGTTGTGTACTTTTTAGTGGAATCTAGCCAAGGAAATTCCAATCATGATCATGGAGCTATAAAAATGAAATAATAATAATCATCACGTTTCATTTATGTAGATATGTAGATTAGTTATTAACTACATAGTGTTGTCTGCTAAAACATTTCGTTATCAGGTTCATTTCATTTTTAAACTAATTTCAGCTTCTTTGAATTTTCGTTACAGTACAGTAGCTCGATTGATGATGAATAATTGATGTTATGACTTTCTGGAAGCTTGAAAAAAAAAATCTAATTTGAATTTTTTTTTTTTTTCTTTTTCAGCTCTGTGGTGGCATTGGAATAATCCATCATAACTGTACCCCAGAATTCCAATCTAATGAAGTCCGAAAAGTAAAGGTATAAGCAAGTATAAAACACTACTGTACATAAAGGATCTATTTTTTACACCATAACTGATTTTGATGATTAATTGTTAAAAGTTAAATAATGGATAATTTTATTTTACTTACAATGCTCAACCCCAAAATTTTATTTGATATATTTACAAAAGCATTGTTAAATGGCTTGCCTGCGACAGACACAAGCTCCCGCGCTGCACAGTCACATGTTCCTAAAGGAATGTGAGGTTGTCGGACAGTGGTGAATGGATGTTGCTCCTATTAAGTGGTAATCAGCTTCTTATCTGCCAACTAGTATCTATAGAATATCTTCCACCTGATAAAATGCTAGACATAGCGAGCCAATAAAAGCGCTTTGATGCTGGGATTCACACAAAGACTATGCAGTTATTGACCCTCCCTTCACCCGCACTCCCGCTAACTAACAAACTGATTTCTTAATAACCCCCAACCCAAAATACACTAGACTGGAAGCATAAAATATGGTAGTCAATGAAAAATTAATTAATTTATCAATTATTACTTAGAGATCATCCTCCAATTAAAGACCAATTCTGGGACCACTTTAGCAGCTTTGGTCTCTATTATTAGAATAATAAAGTTAAGACATCTGGAAATTTGGGATCACAGAAAAATGGTCTTTAATTGAAGGTGCTCTTTAATTGGAGGGGTCTCTTTTTTTTTAGCTTATTTGTAGATTGTAATCAGTGGCTGTCTCTTATACACATCTAGATGTGTATAAGAGACAGGTATAAAACAAAGTGAACATTACCTGATGTAGGTGTGACAGTAAAGGTTCGTACCCATTAATGAGCTGTTTCAGTGCCCTTTCGACATGCGGCACCCATCTTGTGCCACCAACATGGGTTGGGATAAGTTCTCTCTCATTTAAGGCTTCTGCAACTACTTTGAGTCTGGGTATATTTACCACCCCAAAGGCTGTCTCTTATACACATCTAGATGTGTATAAGACTGTAATTATATAGAAAGAATAGCATGGAAGCATGAAATATGGTAGTTAGTCAATGAAAAATTAATTAATTTATCAATTATTACTTAGAGATCATCCTCCAATTAAAGACCAATTCTGGGACCACTTTAGCAGCTTTGGTCTCTATTATTAGAATAATAAAGTTAAGACATCTGGAAATTTGGGATCACAGAAAAATGGTCTTTAATTGAAGGTGCTCTTTAATTGGAGGGGTCTCTTTTTTTTTAGCTTATTTGTAGATTGTAATCAGTGGCGTATCTACTGTAGAAATCTTGGAATGCGGGTGCTTGGGTGCCAAAGATGATGTTGGCGGATGATCAATTGAGGGGCACTAATTCACACAAAAAACGATTTGACGTGATTTTTAACTACTTGGTTTAACTACATGATTACCCCCCACATCCCACCTCCCAAGTACTGTAGCTTGCTTACATAACATTAATTTTTTTGTTTCATATGTTTGCAGAAATACGAGCAAGGCTTCATCTTAGATCCTGTAGTGATGGGACCTGACAACACAGTGGCTGACGTTTTCTCGGCAAAGGCAAGGAATGGTTTTTCAGGTAAAGGACGCACTGCAAACTAAATCCACGGTTCAAACTCATAAGAACAGTAGAAAACCACAATAAATACTAACTTGAGCAGATAGACAATTTCTTGGTATTATCTTTTATGCACACAATTTAATATTAAGAAATTTTTAATCCATACCTTTTATTCACTCAATTTTATAGGAATCGATTTTGTTTCTTCTGTCGTCTTTGTTTTTTATGTAGGGACCTCAACGGAAATATTGTCTTTTTGGCTTTCTTGCGTTTCCCTAGGAATTTCACAATCATTGTATATTATTCTTAAATTTTCTTGTTCTTGTATTTTATGTGATTTTCCGAATAAATTCAATCATTCAACAGCTTGTATGTGCAGTATTTGGTTCTGAAGGTGAAAATACAGTATGTACCCTTTCTGACAATAATTTTTCAAATACTCCACCCTTTTTTATTGTCGTGGGATGAGATAATTTCTCACTCTTGTCTTGCTTAGTTTTGAAATTTATTTGCAAAAAGAAGCAATATCTTTGCTAGAAATAAATTGAGAAACACATTTGTTTCATATTTAAAGCGATCGGCTCTAGCTTTTTTGTTTACATTATGTTGGCTGCATATCTGAGATAGACAAATCACATCAGAGACACTGACAAAAACAATTAAGGTTTCTATTAATCATTTTCTGGGGAAGATGGAAATTGCAGTGCTGTTAATGCATGTGAAGAAATTCTAGAGAATTTAATTGGTTGGCAAATTTCCTTACTGAGAATAAGTAGAACATGATTGAGCTGACCTTTTGCTTGACCTTTCAGCTTAAGAGATTGGAAAGAAGATGCTTATCCATTGAAGAAACACTAACACTGCACGTACATATAAAAATTTAATCTACGTAGGGCGGAAAAAATAATAAAATTTTGTCTTATTTAGCAAACGGTTTTGCCAAAAACAAGGGAAAAATAAAAATAAAATGTTGACTGTTGAATGTAAACAGTGTATGTGATGGTTAAATACATTAAATATATATATAAAGGAAGAAACATGCATATCTTAATTTTGGCGATTTCAAGGCAGCGGTGGGCACAATAAAAATAAAGAAAAACTTATTTTTTCTCAAATTTACATTTTTTGTGGCGAAGGGTGCGCTAATTAGCAAAAAAATTAAAGTTTATTTTTATTTGAAATTATCATTATTAGTGGACGGTGGGTTCACTAAAGGTTTAAAAAAAGTCTTGCCTTTAATATATTTGTACATCAACACGTACCGGTGTGGGTATATTTACCACCCCAAAGGAGGTTATGTGTTACTGTCTGTTAGCAGGATTATGCAAAAACTAAGAAATGGATCATCTTTAAGCCAGGCACTATTTGCGCCCCCAACGGTCGCCGGTCGACGCAATTCCATAAAGAACGCAATGCTAAAACGCTCGTGCGACAGATGTACGATGCAGGGAGTGCCTGACTTTAGTGGAATGGTACATAGTGATCAAAAGAAAGAGATCAAATTCTTTGAAGAACGGTTTAAAGGACAAGGTCAATGTCACACAAACAGGGCAGAGGTATGCCCTCTATGGCACAACTGCTGTATATTTTTTTTTTTGCTTTACCATATTCACAATAACACATTTATTTATTCATCTGTAGGCATCCCCATCACAGAGAATGGTCAAATGGGTGGTAAACTTCTCGGTATTGTGACAGCGCGCGATATCGACTTCTTGTCTCGCGAACAGTACAAAGTGAAGCTAAATGAAGTGATGACGCCGCGGGAACTATTGACTGTTGCGTCCTCGGGCATCAAACTCAAGGAAGCAAACGATATGCTCCAAAAGTCAAAGAAAGGTATGAGGTCTCACGTTTTTCAATACTGATAACTTTTCTTTTATTTTCCAACTGTGCTGTGTTTTTAGTCTACTCATAAATCTCAGGCTGATGAAAAATTCATTTATAACAATGTCTCATATAAATAAATATGAAATGAACACTATCGAAACAAGAAAAATGACAGGTCTTTTTTGGTTTAAAAAAATGTGTAAACAAATAAGATATTCCACTTAAAAAACAAAAGTAAAATTTACATAATCTATATAGCTTGGGATTGGGATTTAATATGACTTTAGGCAGGTACATCTAGCCTGCAAAATGGACCCGAGTTTTAAAATATTAGAGAAGTAAGGTTCAATTTCATTTAGAATATTTATTTAAAATAAATAATTAGTATAACAATGTCTCATATAAATAAATATGAAATAAACACTATCGAAACAAGAAAAAATGACAGGCTTTTTTGGGTTTAAAAAAATGTATACACAAATAAGATATTCTAATTAAAAAACAAAAGTAAAACTTACATACACTATACAGCTTGGGATTGGGATTTAATATGACTTTAGGCCGGTACATCTAGCCTGCAAAATGGACCCGAGTTTTAAAATATTAGAGAATTAAGGTTCAAATTCATTTAGAATATTTATTTTAAATAAATAATTTGTATAACAATATCTCATATAAATAAATATGAAATAAACACTATCGAAACAAGAAAAAATGACAGGGTTTTTTGGGTTTAAAAAAATGTATACACAAATAAGATATTCTAATTAAAAAAGTAAAACTTACATACTCTATACAGCTTGGGATTGGGATTTTATATGACTTTAGGCAGGTACATCTAGCCTGCAAAATGGAGCCGATGTTTTAAAATATTAGAGAAGTAAGGTTCAAATTTATTAGAATATTTATTTTAAATAAATAATTAGTAAATAATTGTTGAGTCATTGACAATCAAACATTTGATTCTATATGCTAAACGTTCCTGACATACAGTAAGGCTTCCCAGCAGGAGGTCGCTTAATAACAAAAACACATGAAAGCATCGTTCATTACTTTGTTAATATCTTTAATATTCCGATTCTGATTGCCATGTGTGAGGTCTTTATATAAAAATAGTGTTATATTACAACTAAATGATTGTTTTTAGCCTATGTCTGCCTGATTAGTTATGAGGATCTCATTTATCTTAAAGAAGTAAGGTTCAAATTCATACAGAATATTTATTTTAAATAAATTATTAATAAATAATTGTTGAGTCTTGGCAATCAAACATTTGATTCTACATGCTCAAATTAAACATTTCCTGACATACATTTACGTCATAAGGCTTCCCTGCATGAGGTCGCTTAACAAAAGACCTTGCAAGCATCATCCATTACATGGTTAATATCTTTAATATTGCAAGGGGTTTCTGATTGCTATTTGTGAGGCCTTTATATAACAGTAATCTTTGGTTAAAATTGAATGATTTTTTTTTTAGCCTAAAAATCAAGATCTATTCCAATTAAAAGCAGGGGGTCCTAAGTTTGAAGTGGTCACTTCTAGGAGGTCTGGGTAAAATGAGCTTTCTTTAACATGTTAACTGCCAGACCTTTTTTTAGGTTTTATCCCATGTGCCAATACAAGTATACATGCACAAACATACTATTATCAAGTCATATCATCAAAATGGCGTGTCCAAATAAATTGGTGGGAAAGTATACGTTTGTCGTCTAAATGAATCTTCCCTGAACTATCAGTCTGTAGTTCTACAATGTATAACAATGAAGTAATAAATGCTAGAATGCTACCCTGGTTTTGACCAGTACAGTATAGTCATTCCTACACCCTGTGGAATGAGAATACTCGTGCTGGCAACGATTGTATTACACATTTTATTTTGCTGCGCACGGTGATGATAAGCCTACCCATCGTCACTGACTTCAGTTGGATAATTGATAATAAAGTAGAGAAAACATGCAAATATGAATTTGCAGGAGATGGGTTATTTTCGAGAACAACCAGCTTAGTTGGCTGGTCATAGGCACTGTGTGTGTGCTGAACCGTGGAGATCTTTAGGTCCCCGGTTCAATTCCCATCGCTGCTCTCCTTGTTTTTCTAATTGAGACCCCTTTTCGATGGCTTATATCCAATCTGCCTGAAACAAAGTGGAAAATAATTCAACATCAGTGCAATTTATTTTGATAGTATACAAAAAAAAAAGTGATTGTCTTCATGTTGAATATATTGCAATAATTATTAATATATCCTGTTGTTATTTGTAGGGAAATTACCGATAGTCAATGAAAAAGATGAACTGGTTTCGCTGATCTCGCGAACGGATTTGAAAAAGCATCGTGAATTTCCTCTTGCTTCAAAAGACGAACATAAACAGCTTCTAGTCGGAGCTGCTATTGGAACGAGAGAAGATGATAAAGACCGTTTGGACATGTTGGTCAATGCTGGCGTTGATGTTGTTGTATTGGTAAACTTTATTTATAAACTTTTTTCTTCATGACAATACATATAAAACACAAAAATAAGTTAATATTTAATATAGTTTTTATGATTAAGATATTACACCAAATATTATATTTAACTTGATACTTAAATATTCATTTCTAGATTTTGTCTATTAACATTGTGTTCATTTTCTCAAATAAGATTGAATGAAAGTAACAAACTTCTTTATGTAGTTCTTTTCGCACTCCACCAAAGCAGAGACCAGCCAATTCTGGCTTATGAGTGAAACTGAACATGTTAGAAACATGCAAAATACACGATCTTAAAAATTAATTAAACACAATAGACAAACATTCCTTAAAATATTACTTTATTAAACACAGTAGACTGACAGACAGAGAGGATTTGATTACAAAAATTTAGCTACCCTATAACAGTGGTTGACATCACTCATAAAAAATTTAATTTATGACATATAAGATCTGCAAAGGATGGGTTGATTTGGGCAACATAATTAAGTGGGATCAGATATCATTGTACAGTATATTAGAAATTCTGTAAAACAGTGTAACTCATTTTCAATATGGTTTGCACAAAGTGCTTTTTCTACCATCAATTGGTCTATTGTTACAACTTCCTGTTCAATTGCAATCGGGGCGCATCCTGACCTAATTTTAGATTTGTAATTGATTATCTTAATTTTTACATTCATTTTTTAGTGGTTAGGAGTAGGACGTATACTGTACCTTCCAGTTCTAGGGTCCTGGGTTCAATTCCTGTCTTGTTCATCATGACTAAACACATCTCCATTCTCAAAAGCTTACGGTTTTATGTGTAAAAAAGCATATAGTGTTTATGTTTGCATTGTAAACTAACTGTAAATTGACACTATTTTTGTAAGACATTTGTGCTGCCTAGTAGCTGGCACATGTACAGTGTAGGGAAAATTTTCCCTTTGTTAATTAACTACAATCTTATAATTGAGATAAATAAAATTATGAATGATGTACGAATCATTCGCCATTGTCAGGTACCTGTTTAGACTAGTAAGTGACGAGACGCATAGATACAGTGCCTTGCCTAAAAGACAAAGCAGTGTGCCCAACATGGGTCTCGAACCCACAACCTCACAAATGAAAACCTAACACCATACCTGCTGTGCCACACAACCTCTAAATATTCACTACTACCAATTAATAATCCTATGAGCCTAAATCACTAAAGATAATGTAATAATTTATTTGATAATTAATTATTTGAATATTGTCTGTTTTTTATTGTGTTATTATTTTGTCTCTCAAGGATTCGTCGCAAGGAAACTCGATCTACCAGATCAACTTGATAAAATATATCAAACAAAAGTATTCCGACCTTCAGGTTGTCGGTGGGAATGGTGAGTTGTATGTCCGCTACTGGTGGTGGTGATAGCAGTTGGGATGGTAATGGAAAGGCTGTTGGTGTCTGTAATAGTGATGCTGTTAATGGTGTTTAGAGTGTATGTTAATAGTAGTGGTGATGATGGTTGTGGCTGTATTGTTAGTTGTTGATGGTGACAGGTTTTGTGGTGATGGTAGTGGTGACGGGTTTTATGATAGTGGTGATGGTAGCAGTGGTGATAGTGGTTGTAGTGTTATTGGTTTCTGTGAAGGTTATTGATATGATGGTGATAGTGATGAAAATGGCATTGGTGGTGATGATGGTTGTGGCTGTATTGTTAGTTGTTGATGGGTACTGGTTTTATGATAATAGTGATGGTAGTGTGGTGCTTATATTGGTTGTATAGTAATTGGTTTCTGTGATGGTTATTGATATGATGGTGATAGTGATGATAATGGCATTGGTGGTGATGATGGTTGTGGCTGTATTGTTGATGGAGATGGGTTTTATGATAGTGGTGATGGTAGTGGTGGTGATAGTGGTTGTAGAGTTGTTGGTTGTTGTTATGGTGATTGGTGTTGTGTGCGATAGTGATGAAAATGGTATTGGTGGTGATGATGGTGTTGGCTGTGTTGTTGGTTGTTGTTATACTGATTGTTGTTGTTATGGTATGGTGATGACAGTAAGTGGTGCTTATAGTGGTTGTAGAGTTGTTGGTTTCTGTGATGGTGATTGTTATGGTGGTGATAATGATGATAATGGTATTTATTGGTGATGATGAATTTTGTTGTGTTGGTTTTTATGGTAATTGTTATTGTGATAATAATGGTGATGATTATGATAGTAGTAGTATAGTGCTTGTTAGAGTTATTAATTTCTGTGATTGTGTTTGTAGTGTTGTTGCTTTCTGTGATGGTGTCTGTTTGGTTGGTGGTGATGTAATGTGATGATACTGGCAGAGGTGATGCTGATGATGGTTGTGGTATTAGGTATTGTGATGGTGATTGGTTTGATGATACTTGTCCAGATAGTGGTGATGATGGTGATGTTAGACAGGGTGAGTGTGGTTGTGGTCGTGATAATAATAATAGTAATAAGTAGTGATGAATAATGGTTGTAGTAGTTGTTGTTAATGGCTGTGCAAGTAGCTGTAGTGTTAATAATTATTGTAAAGTTTTTATATTTTAAAAAGTGATATTTTTTTATGTTGATGACTATACTAGGGATAATTACAAGGATATCTGAAAAATGAACCACAATTTGTAAAATCTTTTTCTGTTTCTCAGTGGTAACCACCTCCCAGGCTAAGACCTTGATTGCAGCCGGCGTGGACGCCCTTCGGGTCGGTATGGGTAGCGGCTCTATCTGCATCACGCAAGAAGGTGAGAATTACCATTTTATTTAGACACTCCACGTTTTTGTGATTCCTCACTGTTGTCTACTGTAATTGCTTAAACTTGTCAAATATGGTGTTTGCTGAATTTAAAAGCAGTGAATATATTTCTGTAATTCTTTGTGTGTATATTTCTTTCCTCTGTTAATTAAAAAATATATATATATTTCTCTTTCTGGATGTTATCAAAACCTATTTGAATTTTGTTTTGAGTTAACTTAGTTTATAAATTGTAGAATGTGCTTTTGCATCTCCTACTTGCTACTACTGTAGGCCTAGGACAGGGGTGGCACTGGGACATTGACCTATATCCCTGACAAGAGCAAAGTTGGTGTAGTCGGGCATCGCTCAAAATCCCTTGAAAGTGGTCCAGGGTGCGAACCTGCTTAAAATATGACAAGGGGTTTCAAAGGCTTATTTAATCAATATTAAAATCTACTTATATGTCGAAAATATATACATTTTTTTCTCCCCAACAAATTTTGGTTTTTCTCCATGACGGGTGGGCTAGCTCTCAATGACTGGTGCCACCCCTACTGTATAGTATTATAAATTGCATCTCTTGATATCTGTGAAATACAAGGCAAGTTGTAATGTTACTGTTGTTAGTATCAGTGCAGCTTACTATTAAAATAGAGAACACAGGTATTATAAGTGCCATGGCATTGTTTAATTATTATTTCATAATATTTATAGAGGGTATACCAAACAAAAAGTAATATAAAACTGCCTCTAATGAATCTGAAGTAATAGAAAAAGTATTAAATTGGTCTCTTTATACCCCATAGTTTTTAAACACAAGCACTCTCACAAACCCAGGACCGGTAGCTATATGATTCCCATCCCACCTCTGCTGAATTTCCATTAAGGTGAACGACAGAGAAACAAAGATATTTTTGACCAATTTGTTGAAGATAGATTACTTGAAATTAATTTTAATGTCAATAGAGAGTTGATTTAATTGCTAAAAATACACGCTACTTCCATTTCTGTTTTATCAAGGTGTATGTTAAGCTTGTATATATTTATAGTGAGTTCGTCAGTGGAATTGAGTATGTCACAAAGATGGACTGTTTTCCCTCAGGCATTAATTCTAACAAAAGATGTTTTTCCTGCTTTGTCATTAATAGGAGGAGGGAGTTTTAATGTCAAATTAAAGGAGAACTCATTAATAATTTTTTGTTGAAATTTGATCAAATACACAAGAAGCTGAATACAGTGACTTACTCATTTTTTTATGTGGATGTACTTTGAAAGTCCCTGCTTATTTATTCATTTATTTATTAAACATTCGTCACAATACTGTACATAAACATATATTGACCAGGGGGTGCCACTCGAGATGATATGGGCTAAAGCCCAAAACATCAAGTGGTCATTTCTAAACCTCTGGCAAACAACAATACTGTACGATAAAGTATATAAAAGAAGAAAGAGATAAACTTTAAACATTTTCAAGATCAATAAATAATTAAAAAGAGTAGTTTTAAATGAGATACATTTAGCTTGGGAACAGATGTCAAC